TTATTTTAAAAGGGTTGGGTATTTGTTATGTAAAATAAATGATTGGAGAAATAAGTTGCCAGGTTTCCTACTTAAGTTTTCTGAGTGATATAATTGGAATTAAATTATTAATGGGAGATACTTTTAGAAAGATTGTTTTATGATCTTCTATTAGGGAATTTGCAATTCATTTTAATATTTGTAGTTTGATTTATATTAAAGATAATGCAATCTATGTCCAATTAACAATACATGGCCAATGTAATGTGATTTCCAGATCATGCAAATGGAATAAGCTAGAAGAGGGGGGGAAAACTCAATTCTTAACCTCAGATGTAATTTGCTGTGCGAGTTCTGGCAATTTTAAATGACATTGCACTTTTTAATTTTTCCAAAGGCTCAGCAGCAAATTTATCCCAATCAAGAAAGCCTATTATTAATTTACAAGGACAATTGTAGGAGTCTCTATAATTTCTCTCTGCAATTATTCGCCCTAAATCGCTAATGGTAAAACACAAGGAGTTTGCAAGAAATAAGGACTATTATTTGTCTTGGGCTTGAACCCTCTTCTTCAGGCTTGAACACCTTCCCGAAGTGTTGGGGAGGTGAGCTCCCGGGAAGCAGCACTTGCAGGGTAAGCGCAGGACTGTGTTCTGAAAAAGGGGGCAGCACAGGAGCTGCTGCAAAGCAGATCCCGCACTCGGCATTACTGCTGAGCTGTGGGTCTGGACTTTCATATAAAAAGACTCTTTGTTCACCACTGAATGGCATTAGGCATGGACTTGCTGAGGGGCCACCATGAAGCCTCACATGAGGAGGGCAAACACTAGCCAGAAAACACAATATCAGAGTCATAGACAGAGACATCCCTGCATTTTGTGCAAAAATGCATATTTTTTGACGCATAATTTTGCCAGTAGCTTGGTGTTTTGGTGTGTTCCTAGCATATGCTTTCTAGTTGATAGACCAAAATACATTTTGTTTTCTCAGTGTATTTTCTCTGTCTGTCTGCCTATCTATCTATCCATTGTGTGCTTATGGGATTACGTTGAATATATAGGTGTTTGTGGTATTATTTTGTACTGGGAAAGATATTCAAGTATCTTTATTATTATATCTGTCACTGTAATAACTAGATCATTTTCTTTGCTTTAACGCTTCCTGATATAAAGTCACATAAAGCCCAGTTAAAATATACTATACGATGTAAATACTCAAATCCGGAAGACACAGAATCTGACAGCCCTGTTCTAATAATGGAGAAAATTCTTTGGTTTAATTCTTGTGTTTCTTGTAGCCAAAACTTCACTCTCCACTCAGCAATGTCTGGTCTCTTTTCAGCATAACCAACAGAAGCACCATACAAAAGTCTTACAATGGATGTCTTAATCTCTCTGTGTGCTTTTAGAGCATTATTTTGAATTCCATCATGCTGCCTTTTTTCTTTCCTCTTCTGAAGTTTTATTACAACAGTAGAATTCCCAGGGAGCTTTGGGGGCAAAGTTCACATAATATAGCCCTGAAGTTTTGCTTAGGTGGAATCTATCCCCCAATCTTGGCCATCTTTTGATGATCTTTCTATTTCAAAAAGATTCACTGGGTAGCATCTTACAGCATTAGCTGGATGCAGTTTATTTTTTATTTTTTTATTTACTAGACAGTGAGCATCTATAACCCTTTCATGATGCTTTCTTTCTCTGACCTCACAGTGACAAGGCATCTTGTTCTTTAACATTGAGGGAGGCAGGAAAATGCTTGAGTTGCTCAATGTGTGCCTTCTATACCAGTTTCAAAATGGCTTATTCTTCTGGTTTCCATGGTGACAATTAACACTGTTTCAAGGCATTGTTCCAGTCTCCATTTGGGCAGAATTTGCGATGTGATTTTTAACAAAAAAAAAAAAAGGTTTTAAGAGGGAAAAAAGCCTTTAGCAGAACTGTCAAAAAAGTTATCTCAATCAAGTCTTCATGCATTTCTAATTATATTTACTTCAGAAATCCCCATTTTTGCTGGCTTTGTTTTATAATTTAATTTTGGCATTTGTGCTTTTAAAAAGTAAGTACGGAGTACAAATTTTCTAAAAACTTCTTTAGTACTTAGTTAAAACAGCAGTCTAGTGTTTGTGGTTATTTTGAACTGTTTTTTAAAGTTTTCTTTATATATCCTGTATACACACAGAAGTGGCATTTGGAATGGGAGTGGCCTGTGTCTTTAATTTAGATCATTCACATATCTATTAGGAGGCTTCGGCAGTCAAAATTACATTGGCCAAGCAAATACACTTAATAATGTAAATATGCCCTTTCAATAGAGTATATTTTATTTTTGACTACACAGAGAAGCCCAGCACAGGTGCTGTGGGGAAATTAAATACTGGATGCTTATTTACCTTAGCACTCAAGAAAAGCCATCTAACTTTAACTTTGCTGCTCATTTTTGGCTATTGAAGAGTAGTCTAGATCACAACATCCACAGACTACAGGACACAGTGGGGCAGCCTTGACTCACTTACTGCTGTGGGTGAAATTAATATGAAGATTAAACGATCTTCTCACCACAGGAGAAAGTAGCCCTACTTGATAGGATGACCAAGAACTGAGAGAGCTGGCGGTTGATTCTCCCTGTCTAATGCTTCTGAAGAGACGGAGAGAGAAGAGCAAAGCCATACCAACATCAACACCAATGTAACCCTTCTGGCATCATTACATATACAGCTTAAGGCCCTAAATCATATCTGATTCAGCTTTCAGAGCGCTTCAGATAGTAAGCATTTTCACCTTAAATTACAAGACATTCTAGTACCTTTCATGCGCATTTACCCATACATCTAACAATTAGCTGGATTCTCCTAGCTTTTATAGTTTGAAGGCTTTGTCCATCAATCACATCTTTCATCAGGCTGTTTATACAGTAGGTTACATGGTGACAAAGACAGAGAGCATACATAAGACACTTGTTTGTTTTTTAAATGTAATAACCTTCTATAATAGCTGTTGCAGTGACTACTTGTACTACATTTCACAGAGAAAATTATTTTATGTCTAAAATGAAATTAATTGCTTTTTGTAGTTTTATTATTACAAGACTGTCATGTTTATGGGACACATCAAAACTGTTTTCTTTCTTGATTGATCTGCTGTGTAGGAGCTGTTCCAAGTTGGGGTAAAGCTGGGGGTGAGCTTGTCATAGGTGAATGTGATAACTAGTCCAGGCCGCTCCCGGGAGACACAGCTGGAGCACTCCCTCTGCCAGTTAGTGCTCATAGCATAAGCTAAAGATCTGAATAGGATTCTTCTGCCTGCCTGGAATGCTGGTTCCCCATATTATCATGTAAATCTTTGTTAGCAGCATCATCTTTGGATGGGTATCTGACTACAGAAAGCAGATTGCCCTCTCCTCCAATCGTTGCTCTAACAAACAAAACACTATGTAGCTTTCTAGAATACTTGTTCAATGTTGGGTCCAGCATGCTCGAGTGGACATTGGTTTTTCTGTGTTGAAGTAACATGCTCCTGGTAATTGTCTGCTGTTAGAAAGCACAATCAGAATGTCCCAGGTATCACAGGCCAAATGATGAAAGCGCTCTAAAGCAAACCTTAATTTTTTTCATCATGCATATTCATGTAATTTTGGATACCCTGACACCCTGATCAACATTCGTTAATACTATGAAATGCTTCCAATCACATTATTTAAAATATTTTGTTCTGTGCGCCACAAATGACTAACATTTGGAGAAGTTTACATAATACAAATAATGTGCATGCTTAGTGCAAATGAAAGATTAAAATATGAACCAGAAAATATGCAAACATTTGCATGCAAATGCTGAGGATCTATTAACCGAAACAAGGATTTCACACCTTCTTTTTCTTTAAGCTGTTTCCAATTGTATTTAATTTGGGATCTGACACAATATCATGTTTTCAAGGTAAATAAAATCAACCAACTGCTTGGGCAAGTTTTGAACTTGCTGATTTGCTACTTTGCTCAGACAAATGCTTTTCTTATTAGATCTGATAAAGCCTCATCTCAGCTCAGTCAGGGCAATGGAGCAACACTGTCAGTGGCCTGACTTTATGCCTCAATGAAATAAATTTTGGGATTATCATTATATTTTTGAAATGTGCTAAAATTGTGGAATTTGTTTAATATTTTAACCAGAATTTAGTTTTTCTATTTAGAGATGTCTTCATGTATATATTTAACAACTACAGCATAGTCATTTATAGCTGTTCATCATATAGGACTTTCACACTATGAAGTTATCCAAGTAGTTATTTGAAGAGAATCACCATGGTAACTGTCATATTAAGTAGCACCTATGTTATCTGTAGCAAACATCTTTTAGGAGAGACTCACTTGGCAGTGTGGTGGAATACAAGGTATGTTGGGGGAGAGGGTTCTGTAGTCAATTGGGATGTTTGAGAACATTTTACAGTATTCAATAAGGAAGCATAGATTTGTAACCATTCTTAAATCACTGGTTTTCTCTTTCCTCTCTAGATGTACCCCATCTCCAAGCCAACACAGAGTTTTTAAGTAAAAGAAAAATGAAAACAAAAATCGTAACTGTGAATTCAGAGAACTTATAGGATAAGAAGGAAGTCACACAATCTTGAGGGATCATTTTATTTGTACCTTTGGGGGCAGAGATGGCAGATGGGCAGCACTCTGGAGCCAAATGTTGACCAAAATTAACTGAATATTAGCTCCCCTTACTTAGACCATGTATTTTCCTATTCAGAATATTTTAAATTGGAGATCAAATGTGTGTGTGAACTTTAGTTTAAAAAGACATAAATCTTAGTCAACTACATGGAATGAGTAACTTGGATGTTCGTGTATGTGTGAGTAATAGATATATTTGTAACGATCTCCAGCAATGTTCCTCCACTACTCAAGTTATTTAGGTTTAGTCTCCTCACAAATATTCTTGGAAACAAAAACTTTTAACCCCCATGAGCATCACTAGTGCTGTGCCCAAAGACTATCTAAGACCCTCTCTCTTCTTGTTGTAGCGATACAGCGTGGAAATGTCCATCCGGGGCCTGAAAAAGACAGAGCTGCTGAGTAAGGTGGAAGCTTTGAAGAAAGGTGGCGTTTTACTACCAAATGATCTCCTTGAAAAAGTGGATTCAATTAATGAAAAATGGGAACTGCTTGGGGTATTTGCATTTTTATTACTGTTTGTAGGCTATGTGTACATTTTTTGTGTAGTAAAGTACTCTATCTGTCTGATTTCTAATTTGAGGCACAAATATCTCTCTCTTTCAATTCACTACCTACATTTCAAACAAGCTATCATGCTATTATGGCTGAAAAACACTGCTTTTCCTTTTCTGTTGATTTTTTTTTTTTACTCTCAGCTTGTCTCCTCTCAGATTTTAATAATTTTGGTTCTTTAATACATAAAGAAGTAAGTAAAATATGCCATGTATTATGGGTATGCACCAAGTCAACGATAATACAGTATATCTGATATACACTGCCTGTCATGCTTGAATGCACGTTAATAGAATTTATTCTGAAGGTACATGTTAGAGACATCACTGTTTAACTCTTTCCTGGACCCTTCCGGTGGAAAGTGCAGTTGTCACTACAACCTTCAAGTCCTGCGAAAGCCACTAAAACAAAGATGCAAATTTGACCCAGATCTGAATTGCAGAATTAAATTGGTCTCTGTTTTGTGCCTCAATTTCCAGCTCCCTTTTAACAAAAGCCAAAAAAAAAGTTTCATGTAATTCATTTCACGCAATGATGGGCTGGGTCTCAGCCAAAGACTGAGATGCAAGAATCTGGCAAAAAGGCAATATAGAGGCTCTGTTAGCCAGAGGCCAGGATGGCTGTGCAGGAGGCAGTGCTGTCCTTTTGTGGAAGACAGCTGAGAGAGAGAGGTTAAACAGTATTTTTTCATCAACTTCTCTCCTAAATTGCCTTCACTTCAAATCAAGGGTAAGCTAAATTTGTCAATTACTTCAATGATTAATTATAATAGCTAAGTATGGGTGGTGTCAGTTATGGAGCCTAATTTTGCATGCCTTCCATTTCCCGTCTTTTTTTTTTAATTTTTTAAAGAAATAATGTCCAAAAATAATTTTGAATTAAAAGCTCTCCGTGTACCTTGATGACTTGGAGGAGTGCCAGTGCTCAGTTTCTGCTGAGCTTAATCTAGGTGATTAAAAAGCTGAGAGTTTAATCCCCGCTTTCTCATCTAAATTCACTACACTCTGCGAGTGTGCAAAGTAACTTAAAATGTTAAAAGTTTTTACTCTGACCTATTGTTACATTACTTTTTAATAGTAATTAACGGCTTTCACATTGTCATATGGTGATTTAAATCAGAACCTTCTAAATTCTACAGAATTCCTTGATCTCCTACAGGAGAAATATGGGACATTTTAAAGCATTGTTTCCTAAATAAGGACAGCAACTTTAGGTGCCTGATAGATAAAGAAATAGTTTGGTTATATAGAAATAGAACTATATCTTTTTCTAATTTGATCAATAACTAGCAATAATCTTTCTTTGAAAATTGTTTAAAGTATGTCATGTATATTGCTTTCTCAACAAAAATTTAAATCAACATAACATTAAATACAGAATATTTAGTAATTCTTTATGAGTCAGAGACCTTAAAAATGGTTGCCATTTTGACAATAACACCATTTGAATACAATATGCAGAGTTGTGTAATGATTTAGGGAGCGAGAAGGGTGGAGGGAAGGTTTGAATAAAACCTGTGCCACACTAACACCACCAGGCCTGCCACTCTAATTGGCATGATTACATTTTAATTGGCATGAAAAAAAATTTAAAGACAAGGATTTTAACTTCTAACAATAGTAAAATAGAGGGATATGGTTTTTAATATTACTTTCATCTAAGGTGAACAGTGTGGAATGGAAATACATTAGAATGAAATGTCAGTGGTGCGTACAGTTTAATCTGTGAAATTTTGTCCCCTGTGCTGCATATTACTCTGTCTCAATTGCATATTAAACAACCCTATCAAGGCAGGCATTGGCATCTGCTGTGCTGACACAAATTGTGAATTAAATGAAATTGATGTCCTCTGTCGTATATTTATGAAGACGGACCATTCTCTGAAGTATTCTGTTTATGAAGAATTTATGATTGCAAACTGTTCCAGAACAAAAAAGTGGCAATAAATTCTTTTTTGTGACCCTACCCTCCAAGGGCATTGATTTCACCTCCTGCTGCTACTTTTGTTACAGCATAAAAACAATAGCTAAATCTGGATTCTACTGAGGGTCTTCAAATTATCAATATTTGCACCATGAAAATATAAGCGTGTTGGCAAGAAAGGTTATTTTTCTGTTATGATCTCCTAAAGATGCTATTTACAGAACACTACACAGCAGTTGAATGTTTGTTGACTTAATTTTATTTGTGTTTTAAAGGTTATTTTTTAGGTTTAATTCGTCAATATAGATTAACTCCTACTGATTCTCCAAAGGGAGTGTTTTCCACAAAAACAACACAAAAAAGCCCTCCCCGACTCCACCTTCATGACGGAGTAGTTAATCGAAGAAGGCACTAGCCTCGTGGATTGGGACTGATTTTAATACATATATTGGAAAGTCTAGCACCCACAAATGCAAAGTGGGGAAAATTGTGGGGCTGTACAATTTCCAAGTCAGCTAAAATGAACAACAGCACCAAGGAGTCTACCCCTTCCTAACAGCCCTCCGTCATATGGTTTGGTGAATTGTACTAAACAAAACCAAAAAAAGGAATTTAATTCTTCATGCACAATCTTCTCTTGGCCTCTTTAGTACATTGATTAAACTCAGACTTCTATCTCCTGAAAATTTTATGCAGAGAATTTTTTCCTACAAACTCGCATTATGAGAATTCAAATGAATTTTTATCAGTGACCATGGTGAACTTTTGGGTCAAATCTCCTTTCTGTTAAAGGAAACTATAAGTGAATGAGGTCTTCTTAAGCCACTAGTGGTAGTCAGAACAACACACATTCCGCAAGAATTCAAATCCTAAATGGAACAGGGAGCTAATCTGAATGAATGTTAGTGGTGAGATGGCAGGTGTGGCTGGACACTCTCCAGGGGTTTGTGTCACCAGCCAAACTGTGACACGGTTTTGGTACCCAAGCTAATCTGTGTTTTTACTTTTGTTGGTGTTTTTTTTTTATTTTTGTGTTTGTTTATAATTTGATGCATTAGAAAACCCTGGGAGAGAAGATCCAGGACACAATGGCAGGGCCCCGTGGGTCGGGGCCACGTGACCTGCTCTCTCCTGAAAGCGGAAGCCTGGTAAGGCAGCTGGAGGTCAGGATCAAAGAGCTGAAAGGGTGGCTGAGAGATACAGAGCTTTTCATCTTCAATTCCTGTCTGAGACAAGAAAAGGAAGGAACAATGAGTGCCGAGAAACAACTGCAATACTTTCAGGTAATAAAAAAACAATCAGAGTTGATAAAAAGCTTTCTTTATGGTAGGGATGAAATATTTATCAAGTACATAAAGTATTATACCCATGTATCTATGTATCACTGTGCACTTAAATGTTTCCTTGAATTTATAGACACCCTCCACATTTCTTACATGCCAGCTCCTGCGTGTATAAAGATGAACGTTAAGCGTATCAAATACTCATTGGATGGGGGGAGCTCTGCTGCTGCTGGTGTGTTTTGTGCTGTGCTTGTGGAGGGGTGGCTTTGATAAATTAAAAGCAGACCAGCAAACACTAAACATGATAATTTTGAAAGGCAGACCTAAATGTTCTATAAATAATGTGGCTAAAATACTTCTGTACATTGATACGATAAAAGCACATGATTTAACTGATGACCATTGATGCTAACAAAAGGAAACCTACTTTTTACATATGAAAGCATCAACTACTCATGGAGGGAAGAAATCAAGTAAAAGAGGTTCCTACATGATAGGCATATTCCATCGTAGACAAATGCCAACCCTAGCAATGCAGCTGTGTGTGTGTTCACTGTATGGATGTTCATGAAGAATAGCGTGTCCCCCTGTTTGTTTTCATGGTCTACACAATAATTTTTCAAAAACAGTTTAAAATTCAGATGTTTTCCCTTGCTGCCCATGCTGGCCTGGACTGCTTGAACCCTCTCGTAAGGCATTCATTATCTGGGCTTTTGGTGTTGTCAGCCTGAAGCTTTGGGATTGTTGAGTATGAATTCGGTAGCAAGAAACCTTGTGACATGGAAGTTCTTAAAGAGGAGAAAGGGGAAAACTAAGAAAGAATCTCTTGGGACCAAGCAACTGTTTCTTCACAAGGCCTTCCAGGACCAGATTTTATTCATTTCACACCCTGTGCCCTGCAGTCTTCCAGCAATCTATTAGGGAATTTAGTCATAGTCGCATTGGCTCACCTTCCCTCTGCCAGACATGCAGGGCACCTTGCTCACCAGCATAGTCCAAGAGAAAGCACCCTCAAAGGTGAGACCACATTGCTTCCCACGAAACTGTCTGTATTACACACCTACAGCTTATTTTGGTTGAAAACCTCCTCTTCTGCCATTGAATTGGCAAAACCAAACTGGCAGTTAAAAGAAAGCCTCTTGCCAAGGCAGATGGGTTTTACTGTCTAAAATCCAATATCCAGACTATTTGTTATTTCATCTCTACTTGTCTCACCCTAACTAACTCCTGTTACAGAGAGGTGGAATCTTCAGATATTTCCCTCTGTGTTGTTTGAACTTAACATGTACCTTATAAAGCATCCTGGTCATTAGTAGGCAGGATGTTGTGAAATAACATTACAGTGGGGCCTTGACTTACGAGTGTCCCGACTAACGAGTTTTTCGAGATATGAGCCGTCTCTCGGCCGATTTTTTTCGGGTTATTTGTTTCTTTCTGGGAGGTTTATCAGTCATAGTCTTCAACAATTTAGCCAGAATTGTAGATAGCTTTAGCTACTGACGATTCGGGGAGTTGAAAAGATTTGTGTTTTCTTTTACGTTTTTGTACTAGGTCAGTGTAAATTTTCTTGCCATATGTCATACAGCGAATGTCACAGTGAATGCCACAACATCAGCCCAGCATCACGTGTCTCAGTTGTTCACTTTAAGTTACGAGCTCCGTCACGGAACGAATTAAACTCGTAAGTCAAGGCCCCACTGTATTTTCTGTATGGTATCTATATTGTAGCTTTAGTGAACTGGTTAATGGCCCCAGCCAGTTGTGTAATCTTGGCCATGTTTCTTGTATGATCTCTTGGTGCATCAGTTTCTTCATCTATAAAATGGGATGCTGCTAGAATTTATCTCACAGGATAACGAGTTTACATATGTAAACTATTATTTCTACTTTTGTAATGGTGCATTTGCAAGGGGTCAAAATATCTTAACATAAGGTCAAAAATGTCACATAATAATTAGAAACAGTAACAGGACATTTGTTATTATAGATATTTCTATATCTACCTTTCTACCCACATATCTCATACATAGATATTTGAAATCAACTTTTTTTTTTTTTTTTTACATTTGCTATTATTATAAACTAGAGGCCCAGTGCATGGATTCATGCACTGGTGGGAGGCATGGATGGTCAACCAAGAGGCTGTGGACCCGCCCTCTGAGCAGCTGCTTATCCTGGTCAGCCAAGCAGCGCTCCCACTGTGGGGGGCACACTGACCACCAGGGGGAAGCTCCTGCTTTGAGCATCTGCCCCCTGGGGGTCAGTGTGCATCATAGCAACTGGTCAATCATCCAGTCATTCCACTGTTCGGTCACTGGGCTTTTATATATATAGATGAAAACATAAGCAGTTCTGCATTAATTTAGCTGATGCTTCCAAAGGACATTAGATTTATGTTTTAGCTTTGTATAGTGTCATCAACATCATTCTCAGCTAGGTCCTAGTAAGAAATGTGAAAGAGTTTAAAAGATGGAAAGAGAGACAGAGGGAAGCCATGCTAGACTTCCAGATCATTAGATAGCTCCTAGGTCCTAATGATATTTGCTAACACTTTCTAACCATAAGGGGAATATTCACTACACCTAATTCATTATTTACCATGTGCTTCTTAG